GGCATCCAGGCGAGGCAGCAGGGTTGCAGAGGCCGCCACTTCGCCGCGGCGCGCCATCTGCAAAACAACATCCGCCTCCTGCCTCGCCACCTGTTCTTCAGGTTCAGCACAGGAGACTGCCGCGCAGCGCAAAGGATGAAGCCCTCTGCGCAGACGAGACAACACTTGGCCACCGCTGCGAATGCTGCCAGGCTGGCAGCGGGTGGCCAAACTGCGAATCTTGTGCTGCGAGTACGCTCCGCAGGCCAGACAAAAGAACAACGGGTTGGGCTCGTCTCCAACCTGGGTGCTCGCCAGCTTGTGTCCGTGATCGGGGGCAGAGACCAGGAGCTCGGCCACTCTCTCAGGGAAACCTTCGCATCCAAGCTCGGGGCGCTCATGCTGTCGTCCTCCGAAGAAGGTTAAACATTTGGTGCACCGAACCCCCCAGAGGCTCCGCTGCCAGGCATGCCGCGACGTGGCCTTGTCAAAAACCTTCGTGGGTCTCCCACGTCTGGGTGGCCGCTGGTGAGATGCACGAGGAAACAGCGGCAGCACGCTCGCCATCAGCCGTGCGCACTTGCGCATCTGGCCGATGGTCCAATCTAACTGCTTGACTTCAGCCTCCGACGGGCGCGCATGCAGATCGATGGCCTTCTTGGCCTCGAGATCTGCTCGCCAATTGGCCTGGCCAATCCTACGCTCTGGTTGAGCCAACGCATCTATCACTTCTAGCTTGCGGTGCGCAGGCGCGTGAACAGCTGGGGCAAACTTATTCTCACACATATGGGCCAGGGCGCCTCGCCTGAGACCTCCATACCTTTGCTTCGGGGGGGTTTGCTCGAGGGGGCCTTTGTTGTGGAGCTTGACCGCATTCATACAATCACTGTAACACTAAGAGGCCAACCTCGGCACGAAAATGGGCAGTCGCGCCAACTGCAGCTGCTCCGCGGCCTGGCTAGTCTGGGGCAAGGAGGGCCACGCCACCCCCCGCGCGACAAACTTCTGGTGGCCTTCGTCATCAAAGAAGACCCAAGAATACGCAGCTCTGGACAACTCCGAAATACAGTGTGGTATGCATGACCCATCCCCTGCCTGGTAGAGCCCCGTACAGTCAAACTTCGACCACTCCACCTCCTGCCCATCCTCATCATACAAGACAGGCTCATGCTCATCGCTAAGGCTGGGCCAGCTGTCGATCGGATGCAGCATCTTAAGCCCGTCATGCAGCGCATCGCCACTGTCAAGAGCTTCGCGGCAGAAGTCAGCCGAGACCTCCGCCTGCCCTCGAGCTGCCACAACGTCCTGATACTGACACTCGTAGAGACGGTGCCTGACCGAGTCAGGTCTCTGGCACAGCGGGCACAGTCCTAAACAGAGGTACCCCGAACTACGAGCCCGATCCTCAGTCCACAAACCTTCGCAAAAGGCAATCTTAACCAAATGCTTCCCCTGGGCACTTAAACCGATCCCTTTGGTCCGAGGGTTCACAATCCGACGCAAGGGCTCAACGCGCACCCTAGCCCCCGAGGGTCACCTAAGTTTTGCGGCTAAAACTCTCTCATGGTGTCTCTGGACACCACGTTCCAACAAGGAACACACCATGGAGGGGGTGGTGTACAGTAAACTGTGCCCGATGCCCTTATCATCAGTCCAATGCAGGGGGTTCACCGCCGACCACCCGATCCTACACAGAGACAGGTGCATCCTACTGATCGGACCACGCGGTTTAGCCCAAGTAAGTCCTTCCCGCTTGACCTCCCTCCACATCGCGCACAGGTCCTTGACAGAAAACTGCACATGGCTGGGCCTTGTGACGGCGCTCCACACCGCCTGAGCCCACGCTATGGCTGGGGCAACCATGCTCCTCCACAGCGGGTCACCAACCAGGGCAACCTTGGCGCGCATAGAAACTCCCGCATGCCTTGGGGCCTGAAAAGACAACAAAACACGTCTCGCTCGCCTGAGTTCAACATCGGTCATGCCCACAATGGTATCCCCAAACGTGAGCGCTGGCTTGACACCAGCCGTGTAAATTTTGCAGATGCGGCCACGATCCCTTGGTAAAGCCCGCTGAAATCGCTTCAAGACACGATGTCGCTTGACCATGTCTTGGAAACGCTTGCGCCTCTTGGTGAGATGTCCCCTCCTGCTTCGTTTACCCCCAGGGGCCAAATCGCATCCCAAAGACACCACATGCGTACCAACAGTCCCCGCCGGGAGTCCGAGTCGAATCCCGAGGCGACGAGCAGTGTCAGGATGCGAAGCAAACGTCATCAACTTATCTGGTGCGAGATTCACCCCAAACTCCTGGGTGAACACACTGTGAAGGTCCGCCGCCGCCGGAACCAGCGACTCGATGACAGCCTCCTTCGTGCCACAACAGCTGACTGTGTCGTCGTCAATGTATGAGGACAAATCCACACACGGGTTACGACTCACGAAATCATCGAAAGGCTTCATGGCATACACCCGCACAAAAATATCGTTGAAGCACGATCCAGCAGGTAGCCCACTGGTAGCATACTGCACAGCAAGGCTGTGGTCAGAACCTAACCTTAAGATCCTAGGGCCACGCCAAAAATTGAAAACCAGCTTGATAATAACTGGTTCAAGCCCGACCGCCAGGCTACGATCCTTGAGTCTCTGGAGGTCAACACTTTCATAATACTTGGTGCCATCCCAAGAGAAGCCCGCCGTGACTCCACCGCCTTCCACCTGGGCGTCGGCCTTGATGGCCTGACCCCACACACAAGCTTCCGCCGACTTCCCCGCACCAAAGGCCCAGTACCTCCTGGGGTGAGTGTCGTTGAAAGGGGTGAGGTGGGGGCGCCTTAACTTCTCCCACAAACGCACAGGGGCCGAACATAGCAAAATCGGACGAAGACCACCCTTGGGTTTCTCGAGCAGGGGAAACATCATCCAGTACAAAGCCCGAGGGAACAATCCCAACTTCTCAGACGCTTGAAACAGGCAGGCCAGGGTGTCCAACCCTTCGTCACAGAGGAAAGCAAACTGCCGCACGTGCACCCCATCAAGGGACTGAGCCGTGTGCGGCGAGAAGCTCTTGGCCGCGGAACGTATAGCCTCAGGGCTGAGGCGATCGAGGCAGCGCCTGTCTGGCACCTCAACAGGAGGAGGGGAAGAGGACGCATGCCAAAATGTCCCAATAATCTCAGCCTCCTTGGCCAGCAAAGCACGCGGGTCCGACGTAGAAGCTCCAGGAGATTTCTCGGTAACCGTGGGCTCCCATTTAACCTTGAGACGGGTGAGGCGGTGCATCTTGCGGGCTGACCCCTGCAAAGCTTCAGCCTGCCATTGATCCCACCCTTTCTTTTCCTTCCCGTCTAAGCCGTCGCGAGCCTCCGTGAAGTCCTCCTCCCACCCCGCCAGAAGCTCGGCAAACTGGTCGACCCAGTCAGCTAGGCCGCGCAGGGAGCGCGGCCACGCGGCCATCTCCTGACGGGCCTTGGCGACGGTGACATCAAGCCTAGTCGAGAGGCCTTCGGCATCGAAAGGTTGCGCAACAAGATCAACGATGTTGCACGCCGCTTGGACCTCAGACTGATCCACTAAAGTATTCGTCTGAACCACAAGCCTCTGGCTGGTGTTAAGCAAGTCCTTAGTATACTGCTGCAACCAGACCCAACCAATCCAGACACGGACCTCATCTCCCTCCTTCCTCTTAGGGGGATGCCACAACCGGGGCCCACTGGGCAACCAAAGGGAGGCCTTTCTTTCCCTGCTTACGCACTGGGGTATCTAACTTACTCTCAAGCTCCAGCTCCATGGCATCCGAGAAAGCGTTCCAAGCGACGTCCAGCGCAGCCCAAGCAGTGCCCACCGCTTGGCCACTGGCGGCGAGGTTGGCGTGTTCAGCTTGTCCACGCGCCTCCGTCCAATCGGCACTACGATTACTTGGCCCCACAGGGAGCTCAGTGGGGAGCCTCTGGCGGCTAGTGTACACGAGCTGGTGCAACTTGACAGCCCCAAGCCTGATATGCAGTTGGGCAGGACGGTGGGGCCTCTTGACCCATGAGCTGTCAACATTGACGGTCTGCACCAACTTGCTGAAGGCCGTGGACGCGAGAAACACATCAATCTTGGTATTAGCCTGCGGTGTCACGCGCGTGGTGGACTCGGGCAGCATAATCAGCAACCCCGCGCGTCGCGGCATGCCAGACATCTCCAAACATGCTGAGCTGAAGTTCCAATCAGCCCCAGCAGTGCAATGTGCGCTCCCTCCAGGATCTGACCTGCCATGCGTATGATATGCAAGTTACGTTGACTGAGACCTTCGCCTGTGTAGAGATACGCACTACCAACCAACAACGGGGGCCACTTGGGAATATCGATCTTGGCGAACACTAGCCTGTGCGCTACTGCAATGCCACGAGGAAAAAAGTCTGGCCACCTTAATACAACTGTGACTCTGGCGAAGAGCAACTCCAGCATACGCCTGCCCCTGAGCACATGCAACAGCAGGCGAGCACAAAAGGTTCCATCCCATAGCCTTGGCAGAACTCACACGCTCCCCAAGTCGCTCTTCGTCGAAGCCAATTTCCTGAGCACACAACACGAGGGCCTTGGACGACGCTAACCTCTTTTTAAGTGTGCCCCAGCTGTTCCCATTATAGCTTTCAAAAACATGGGCCGTATCGATGCCTTCAACGCGGGGGGCGGCTCGTGGCGGATAGGCTACACCATGCTTAGTCAGCTTAAAACCCGCGCATCTAGGCACAAGGTCAAACGCTACCCCACGCGAGCACACTCCGCTGGGGTCATGAAAACCATCATCTGGCGTTGGCGGCAGAGGCAAGTCATCTGACTGCTGCTCCATGCGCAGGTCATCTGACTGCTGCTCGCAAAGCCGCTGCAGAAGAAACCAGAGAGCCTGCATCACTCGATAATCATACTGCACGAGCCAGAGCCGCGTAAAACAGCAATCGAACAAGTGCATACCCACATCGTCGATGAGCGATCCCCTCCATTGCTTGTCACAAGCGACACCATCATTGCCGTCAAAGCTGCGACGTCTTGGGACGTTTCGCTCTGGCACCCATGATCGCCTCCAGGATAGCCCTCGTGTCTCCCTTGTGCTTCTCCCAGAAGCCATCCGCCGCCTGATCATCAACGAACATGTCATCGAACTCGTCATCGTCTGGTGGCACTGGCTGGTCCACGCGCGCACCAGCCGCTCCCTCAGGTGGCGCCACAGGCGTCTCAGGACGTTGGGCTCCCGATGTGACATGAAGGCGGAACAGCTTGGCAAACTCCTTGAACGGCTCGGAGTCCACCATTGCCTTAATCTCCGCATTGCCATCCAGCAGCTCCTGAGGGAGGCCGAAGGTGTCATCAGCAGGCGACTCACCGAGTGGCAAAGTAGTAACCAACTGCCGTTGGAGCTCAGCACATTCCTTCTGAATATTGTCACGCCTCTGCACCAACTCCATCTTCTCCTTTTGCATCTCATCCAACCTCTTGGTGATGTCGGTGACCTCCGACTCCACCTTGGCCAGACGGGCCTTGCATCTGTTGAGCCTGCGCCCCGCATTATTGTGCTGCGTGAGGTCAGGCTTGCGGGCTTCGATCTGCGCCCTGACTCCCCGGAGGTTCTCCTCCAGGATCGCCTTGGCCGCCGATGCCGACTCACTCTTGCGCGCTGCGATGGCCAACTCCAACTGAGCGGCCTCCGCGCGCAAGGGATCCTCCGTCTCCTTATCATCTCTTGCTGCAGCCGCAGGTCCACCTCCCCCCCCGCCTTGTTGGGCAGAGGCCTTGGCACCTCCAGCGACGAACTGCTCCACCCGCTTGGTGAGCCCCTGGACCTGCTTCTCCAGCCTCTGCTCACGCTTCGAGCCCACGGCAGGGGGGCGAGCACCGCCACCGAGGCCGCGAGCAGCGCCACGACCATCAGGAACCTGCTGCGCCCGCTGGAGCACCGCCTGGGGGGCGCTGGCGCCACAGCGGCAGCGCAGGCGGCAAGCCCAGTTCGACGTGAGCCCGCACTGCTGGCAGCCCCAGAAAGGCCTCTTGGGCCCCTGGACCACCGCTCCATCCATGGATGCCTCGCTACGGAGGGCTTAGAAGACTGGGGGTTTGAGATGCCCCAAAACTGCACAAGCCAACAAGGCACGCGACAGCGACTGCCGCTCTGAAGACTGCTGTCGCAAGCTCAGACCACCTGAGCCAGAACGGCTGACCTCGAGGTGACGAGCGTAACCGGCAACTCTTAACCTCGACCAGTCTGGGATCAGCAGGGGCAGGAGGGACTTTATCTCTAAAGGTACGTCCAGAGAAACCTCGCCCCAGAGTGGCACAAGCACTGTTTCCGCTGTTTGCAAATTCAATGCCGCTAGCCGCTTCGCGGCTTCGACGACGGGGCGCGCGCTCAGGAGGTGCTCGAATCGCCGCAGCACAGCCCCGACGTCGCCCGCGCATGCGCCGGCGTCGCCCTTGTCACCGGCGACGATCTCACAGTGTTGGTGCCGCAAGATGGGGTCCATCGCCATCGCCTACAGAGCCCCCGCTCACGGGCGCCCAATGGCGCCGCCGCCTATTGCCGAGAACATCGGCGCGCGGAGGTGCCCGATGCGGCTGAAGACCAAACCGCGCTCGCAACGCATCATGATCTCGTTGATGCGCCCATCGGGCAAGAGGAAGCGTCGGGGAGCTCTCCACAACCGCCGCCGCGCTAGCGACGGGAAGGCCGCCCTTATGTCGAAGCTGATGAAGCAAGGCTTGGCGTCGGCAGCGTCCAGCTGGTTCGAGACGATGCGCGACTGGGCGTCCAACCGTGCAATGTGCTGGATGAACAGGCGCTGCGGGATGAAACCCTGCTGGATGGAGTGGACTTCCTGTTGCGCCACGTGTTCAACTTTAGATTGATCGTGGCAGCTAAGATCTTGCTGCCGCTGCTCTTGAGCACGAGTGGGCGCAAGGCATGTGGACGTCGAAATCCGCAGACCCTGTCGGCGTGTGGAAAAGGCTTTTCCGTCTTCCCCACAGCGTCGTCGCCTCTTCTGCTTTCCGAGGGCCCCCTACACAAGTCCACGCAACCTTGAACAACGTCGTCCTTCAGTCGAGGGGAAGCCCCTTCCCTTGATCCCTTCCCCGCGGCGGGGGGGGGGGGGGTCTGGGGCAACTCCCTCCCGGGGGCCCCCCCCTCGGATGCGCAGCCCCCCCGCCTCTCATCCTTCTGCGTCTGGGGGCTCCGTCGGCCCTCCGGGGCCGTCTGCGGGCCCTTTCAGCCTATCATAAGGCTCCTTGGAGACCTCTCGCCATTTTTAGACTCTCTTGGCAGCCTCTGGCGGCGCTCTTGACAGCCTCTGCCGGCGCTTTTGGACCTCGCTTGACGCCGTCTTGGAACCCTCTCGGGCCACTTGAGGGCGCTCTTTGCCTATCTGGGCACTCTCTGGAGCCGTTCCCGATCCCCGGAAGAGGCCTCTTCAGCTGCCTTCGGACGACCTTGCAATCATCTGGCGCCGTCTTCGAGCCATTTGAGGGCATCTTAGACTCCTCTACCTCCATTGTCTTCGCCGTCGCTGCCTACAAGGTCGGCGGCATCGGCCGGAAGGCCTTCGCAATATTTACACGCGGTCCCCAGGCTCGTTGCCTTTCGGCAACATCAACAGATCGCCGCAGTCAGACCGGGGGAACCTGACAAACGGAAAATATGTGCAGCAGCATGCTGTGCGAGCACTCGACGAACTTCTCGTTGGCCTGCCGCGCCGAGTATGTCAGTCGATCTGGGACTGGCACAATATCTGAGACACGTGAAAGCGCCCGCCGCACGTCGGAGATGGATGGGGCGTCGATGTCGGGCGCGGCGCGCGCGGGCGTGCGCCGATCCAGATGCTGATCGATGGCGTCCTCGTCGACGCAGGTGTCATGGAACATCGGTTTCTAATGCGCTGCAATCAATGGCTTGCGTGATGTCATCTGGTCGTCGAGCGATGCCCGCCTCTTCAGGACGACGATGCACATTTGTCGCCGGCGGCCTGCGTGGGCCCCCGGACGGCGCCAGGTGGTCGCCGGGGCAATGCGGATCTTGCTGGGGGCCGCCAGGCTGAGCCATGCGGACTCCTGCCAATGCGAGCCGTCGCGGGTGTGGCGCCCGCAGCATGGCGCGTCGCCGGGCCACTCGAGCGGTCTTCCTGGCCGAGCTTGCAGAGACGCTGCTCTCCGCCTTCATGACGGTGATGGCGCGGTTTGCGCGCGGCCGCCTGCGCCTGCTGGCGCCCGGCACCTGATGTTCAGCATGCCAGTGTAGCGTTCGAATCGAAGTCCCGCTGGTCCGAGAATGTTATCCTCGGCGCGAACTCATCGGCAGTCTCGCAGGAAACAATGAATTGTCGCCCGAGCTGCGTCGTGGCCGCCAGCCTCTAGGCCTGGCGAAAGTCCTGTATCCGCACGCATCGCGGAGTCGATCTCATAGTGAGCGGCGCGCGTCCTCCGCGCCTTCGGACGAGTCCCCGTTCGGCAACTGCGCGAGCTCGTACCTCGTCTCCTGAGCGGCGTTCGCCATGAAATCCTTGCAAGTTTGCCGCGCTTGCGCGACGCTCAGGTACTCCCACGAGGTCTGCTGAACATGCTGCCAACGTGATGCTTGAATCGCAGGCGCTCCAATATAAATGCCGGCGTGTGATGACCCTTCTGCTGCGCGGGGCGCATCGCTTGCAACTGGAACTCGCTGGTGGCATGGTCGCTCAGGCGCCAGTCGCTCAGATGCTCGGCCCCTTGCAACGCGGTGACCGCGCGCGCGAAGATGCGGTCGGTGAAACTGACCGAGAGGAAACCGGCCGCGTACGCAGATTTATATATTCCCCCCGGGACCTCTTGATTCGTTTGCTTCGACCCCACCTTTGGATGGTGATGCCCTTCCCCCCCCCCGAAACTTCAATGCGTCCTCATATGGCCTCGGAGAGGCCTAAGACGGCCTCAAGACGGCCCACGAGGGCCCCGACCCAGCTCCCAAGCAGCCCAAAGTGGCTCCGAAACGACCGCAGAACAGACGAGCCCAAGCCAGCTCCAGGGGCTGACGGACGCGGCGCAAGCCATATGGATCGAATCCTGTGGGCCGAACGGGCGCCTGCAGTGACCTATTCCTGAACATCGCCTCGGTCAAAGTACGGTCCAGGGGCACGGCGCCTCATCGAAGGCCTGCGGGAACATTGCGGCCCACTCGGCTTATCACATGTCACGCGACAGCTGTCTAAGCAAATAGCTCCCTGGAGTTCCTGGCGCAACAATGCCCAAGGTAGGGCGATACTGGAGTGCAACGTGCGCTTAGCCGAAACAGCCTGCATGCAATCCAGGCGCCCCTGGGATCGAGTGGAAACCACATCCGCTCGCTCTCCGCCCCGACCTTGCCCACCTCATTATTCTACTCCTTTCCCAATATCAGCTTGCGCAATACCCTCCATAGGGCCACAGAGTCCCCGACGTGTTGCAGAATGCTGGGGCCCAGTAGGGGGGGCCCCAACTTTCCCCAGTCGTTTCCGATATAGCCGAAAACACGCATAGGTACCGATGCCCCCCCTGAACACGCGACGCCCGCGCTGAGCACCCCGCCGGGACAGTCAACGACGTTGCCAAATGGATGGTGATGCAAATCCGAAAGGAAAGACCAGAACTTGAGGAGGAGGAGAGGGGAGGAGGAGAAACGCACCCGCGCCCAAGACACCGCCCCACAAAGCTCCAAGCATACAACGGTTACTGCGACTGCTGGCGGCGCGCGGCGACAGCGCTCACAGAGACGATTCCCCCCGTGAATGTTTCCTCCCCCCGCCCAGGTACTATTGTATGACACCCCCGCCGCCGTGTGCTTACCTTGTGGCTACGATATACGTATACAGAATCCCCCAGCTACGCGCGGACTGCCCGCGTCGCATTTGCGGCGCAAGAGTTGCGCAAGGCATGCGATAAGAGTGAAACGTGGACGACCGAATGGCACCTCTGACCGTGCACCCGGCGCAACCCCGACTAGGATGCCCTTCCATGTGGCGGGTGTCATCATGCACGTTCTGATGAAGTATCACGGCGGTCGCGCGTCGCATCTGCCTCGCTTATTGCACGAGCCTCACGGGAATGACAACGCCTGCCAACGTGGCTACAAAATACGAGCAAACATAACAGCACGGCAGAGTGAATTGAAATCGAATGGCGCTGTTTTCTTGGCGGGCGCGCGTCCGATGGCATCGCCTCGTATCCCGAAAACGCCCCCGAAGGGGAACCGATGGGAACCCGGAAGACCCAATCAGGAGACACGAGTACACCCCAACAGCGTTTTAAAAGGAGCTGAAGAGAGCCCAAACTGCTCCGAGAAGTCCCCCTAAGACATCCTTCAGCCACCCCCCGAGGCCACCAGCGAAGCCACCAATTCGTCCCCAAGAGGCCCCGAAAACCACTCAATGCCATAAGGGCTCGCGGCGATCTGCGAAAGCCAAAGAGGCCCCTACGCCGAAACCACATCCGACGAAAACACCCAGACGCCCCAAAGAGGCACCCCAGAGGCCCGCGGCATGCCACATCCAGCCCCCAAGGGAGCAACAAGCACTATGCTCACAACGAACAGGGCAAGCAGGAAGAGGGGAGAGCCCCTCATGGACATCGACGTCTTCTCATGCGTTCCTCGCCTACTGCGTTCACCTCCCTCGTCGCTCCTCCCATCATGCTCGCCCCTCTCCCTCGTCCTTCCTTTCCCTCCTCCTCCTTCCCACCGTTCCCCCTCCCTCCCCCCCCGCCCCTCTCAGTCGAATAAACGGTTCGCTCTTGGGCGCGCTGGGCGGTTTTACCCTTGCCCAACTTCGAAGAAAGTTTCGCGATCCGCATCCACTTGAAGCGGAAGCCCCGCGGCAAGCCTAATTGAGAAAACCTCTCTGGCCCACTCCACCCCCAGTGCAAACTTGGGCC